CTTCTGGGAAAGGCAAAAATCAAGAAGGCACAGGAAAATGCATTAATATCGCAACACGCCCGTAAGCTATGTCTTTCGTCTTACAGGTATTTTTTGAAGAAAAACGATTACTTCCCTATGAACCTACAGCTACTGATTGCCTACTTTACTACCTCAAATTACGCTGAGATTCCCTGGGTCGAGAAAACTTGTCTTTGCTCAGCGTTGAAGAGCTTATTACCTCCGGGAATCCATCGTAGAGTGTTGGAATCTTTGTGGCCCATTCAGCTACTCCAGCCAAGTAGAGATCAGGCCAAGTCAGCGAATCACCAACGAGATATCCTAAAAATTATACTGTATGAATAGAGAGCATCGACATTTTACCGGTTCATTGAGAAGTTCTAACAAGGAAGTCCCACAAGGGCTATCCTCAGCCCGTCTGTTGAACAGTGATTGCATTTATGCATCATGATCCTGAGTCCAGGAGTATTCGTAACAGTGTAACGATACTCGAAAGAGATACGTAGCACGGGTCAATCAGCTACCCTCGGACTGGTTTCAAGACCAAAGTCTCTGGTAAGATTGCGATTGGAAGCGAGCTGTGATGAGTTCTTCGCACGGAAATGTTTGCTTTGTGCCTTTAGCGTGAAGAATCGACTCACTGCTCTTCGAACCCATGTAACGCTTAAGTCAATACCAGGTCGAAGGTGATTGGACCTGTACTTGGCACCAATCTTGAATCTCTTGAGGTGAACGGTCTTTCAAAGATTCCACTCATGAAGAATCTGTTCACCTTGTTCTGGCTTTTATTCACTCGAGGAGTACGGAGGAAACTTGATTACCTGATCATTTCGAATACACTATAAAATATGCACCACGGAGGATTGTGGAATCACCACAAGTTTGGCGTGGTATAGGGAAAACTTTGCCCACCGATGGGACTAGAACTCGCACATACTTGTGCTTTGAGCTTTATTAAACCAAACTTGGGAGACTTTTTGATCGCGTGCTGGGGAGCGGGGATAGTAGCAGTCAACAAAACCATCAAGTCAGAGGAGTTAAGGTGTTTAAACTCAAACTCAGTGTTAGCCTCAACAGAAACCTTGCTAGCAGAAGAGGTAATGTCCCCTATAGTTGCGAAATATTCGATTTGTGATCCCACAAAACCAGTTTTCATGTCGGACCGATGCCAACAGTACGGCAGTTGTGGTGAGTGCGGTTTTAGTGATGCCGTTCCCTATCTACGTTGAAAAAGATGCTGACCTGACTTGTTATCTTTGAGAATTTTAGCCATGAAAGTCATAAGCTTATCTCGAGCTGGAAAGAACTTCTCCTTCAGCAGTGAGTCCTATAATGAATCTGGTTCATAACTTTTTCTTCTGTGAAAGGCGAAAAACTATTGGAATAAACTTACCACGTCACCTTTATCGAATCCCAGCATGGCTCTTATCGTAGGACTGACCTCTACCAGAAAATCCTTGAATTGGTCACCAATCATGTCCACAATCGCCTCTTCCCAAGCACTCTTACCGGCATAACCTCAATTGTCAACTTTTTCCTATACTCTTTTAAAGATTGTAAGGTTGGACGGACCGAACTGTCTTGCCAAGTAGCGAACTATGGCGAATGACTGAGCTAGCTGCTTCCCATCGACTTCTAACACCGGCAACTGATGGAACGGCATCTCTGAAGACTTCATATTCAATCTGTTAATCTTGAAAGCAGTGACGGCATGATTCTCGAATTGTTAGTAATATATTATACTATAAATATACATATAGTAAATAAAAGAACGAACTGGTTTTCAATTCTGGCCATTCCTCGAACGTTACGCGCTTGTCCTCGAAATCTTGTCCCGCAATGACAAATAGCTGAAGAAGAAATCCTTAGTTGCCATGGTTGCCGAACCCCCTAAGATGCTGAAGGGGCTACTCCATGTGCACCTCAGACGAGATCGCTTGAAGCCGATACCTCTTCAGTAAGTGCTACTTCGCTTGAAAACTACTTCTCTATTTGGCAAATAATTGCTCGTCCCTTCATAGAAACTTAGAGACGACGGATAGTAAGGATGATGAAAGCGTGGATGTCATTGGTGTATTTACATCTATTTTCATGCTTCCAAAAGTTTTCACTCATTCGGTATGGAGGGTCACAGGCTCGAAATACTGGGGGTACCACATATGTATGGCTACCAGCTGACCTTCTACGCTCCCACATTTCAATCCACTGTAATAACCTTGTGCCTGAACAACCTTGGAACCCACCGACCTGTCGGATGATTTCTCCTGCTCCACGTCCGTTGAAGTATATGAGCTTGTAGTGGACCATTCTAAAGCAATAGTTATGTGCTGCAAAAAGATCGTGAAGTGATCAAACTTCGAATTACAATGGCATCTGGCGATTATCAGACTTCAAAGAGATTCAGACAAGAGGTATCAAGTCTTAGTGGTTGTAATGGTTCAATACCATTTTGAAAGGGCATTTAGATGTGTGTGAGTCAATCAAAGTCATCAGCAATGGTGCAAGACATATGTGATTGCGGTCTCCCACAACTTCGACATCATTATCCCCAATTATATCAGTACCATGGGAGTGCTCCTATGTGGAATGACGAAGTGGAACACGGCCACTTGTGGGTGTGTACGTCGGTTCAGCCGGTTTCGGAACCCTTGTAAATCCCTGAGCATTTTTTGTGGTCATATTTCTACCCAACATTGTCTTGGTGTGAACGTCGGCTGGGTCGTCAGCTAGTTTTATAGAGCAAATGAAACAAGTAAAAAGGCATAATGAGTCAAGCCCCGAATAAACGATATGAACTACGGATAAATCTTCTAGAATTAGAGTATTCGAGAGGCATTGTAGAGTTGTCTAGACTCAAACTAAGTGTCANTCTTTCATTGCTTCGTTGCATTTTGCTTCACTATATCATCCTTTGTTTACTTTGCGGCTTTTCACGATAGATCCTTCCAACGCGCACTCGACATTAGCCCAGAGAACGCACACAGTGTTATCATCACTTCATTATCAGTAGGTTTCTCTAAAGGATGGACACAGGACGATTGATAGTCATCAATAATCTTTCGCTCGGTTTCTGGAATATGGTGTAGCCCTTTCTACGAACTGTTAGAGATGGCGATCTTGTGTTGTTGGCCATTGTTTACGCTAAGAAAGGTTCATACCAAATTGAGTCTTACTTTTCGGATATTGCGGTGCGAAGGAGATTTTTTTGACCCGAAACATAAACCCAGAATTCTTCAACGGACTAAAATAAATAAATAAATAATAATATATATTATACGACAAATATGCTGAGGCCTGCTAAAAGAAGTCCTGCCATCCTCTTCATTACTTCTTTTCAAAGCTACACCAACCTGTGATCATCTTATCGATAGCATTCGAAGATGTTTATCCAAGGAATCGTTAGAAGTGATTGCATTAAGTATCAAAGATATTGCTAGAAAAAAAATTTATTCAGCCAAAAACTGGTGAAGGCAGCTTCCATTCAGAACAACAGGCAAAAAAAGACAACTTATGAGACATATCACCAAAATCCAAAAAAACTGGGCTCAGAATGGTGTTTCTGGACGAGTTTCAATCCACTTCTTCAGCTCGGGAATCGATCGGATCTTTTCAGAATGTGCTTTCAACTAAAAGCAAACAATTGGACTAATATCAAACTTTTATGGCGAGAACTACATACGTTAGGTGTCAAGTGGTAGCTATCTCATCCTGGTTTTAAAAATCCTTCTGGAAACGGCAAAAATCAAGAAGGCACAGGAAAATGCATTAATATCGCTACACATCCCGTGAGCTATGTCTTTCGTCTTACAGGTACTTTTTGGAGAAAAACGATTAGTTGAGACAACTTGTCTTTGCTCAGCGTTAAAGAGCTTATTACCTCCGGGAATCCATCGTATAGTGTTGGAATCTTTGTGGCCCATTCAACTACTCCAGCCAAGTAGAGATCAGGCCAAGTCAGCGAATCACCAACGAGATATCCTAAAAAATTGTACTGTAGGAATTGAGAGCATCGGCATTTTACCGGTCCATTGAGAAGTTCTAACAAGGACGTCCTACCAGGACTATCCTCAGCCCGTCTGTTGAACTGTGATTGCATTCATGCATCATGATCCCGAGTCCAGAAGTATTCGTAACATTGTAACGATACTCGATAGAGCACGGGTCAATCAGCTACCCTCGGACTGGTTTCAAGACCAAAGCCTTTGGTAAGATTGCGATTGAGAGCGAGCAGTGATGAGTTTTTCGCACGGAAATGTTTGCTTTGCGCCTTTAGCGTGAAGAATCGACCCACTGCTCTTTGAACCCATGTAACGCTTAAGTCAATAGCAGTTCGAAGGTGATTGGACCTGTACTTGGCACCAATCTTGAATCTCTTGAGGTGAACGGTCTTTCAAAGATTCCACTTAGAAGAATCTGTTCACCTCGTTCTGGCTTTTATTTACNGCCCCGAATAAACGATATGAACTACGGATAAATCTTCTAGAATTAGAGTATTCGAGAGGCATTGTAGAGTTGTCTAGACTCAAACTAAGTGTCAATTTGAGCAGAAGTGTTTGGAGTGGATAGGGTTCATAACGAAAGGAGAAAACCGAATAAGATCAGGAGAGATTCGAGGAAAAGTGTGACCTGATTCGGGGTCGACAGCGGAAATGAGATCTTGGCTGAGGCTCCACGTTTACTAACTATACTCAATTCCTGCACTTTTGAGGAGCATCAGTAAAGTTTACTCGGGTAGTATTAGTTAATTGTTGCATTTGTTTATTATTATATGAGCAGTCGACAAAACACTGTCGGTCCTTATGAGTCGCCTTGTGGAAATCGAATATATTTTTGCCTAGCCACTTACAAAAACTTGTCTGCACTTATGGATGTGGCTTAATTAACGTTTTCAACCCAAGTTTGGTTGATCACTGCCCTAACTGTTCTCACCTTACCATTCCTACATGTCCAATTTCAATCGAGGCTGCATTAGCCATCGAAAATGAAAAAGGTGTCAACGGTCTCAAACACCATCGAGCAAAGCTATTTCCATCGTATCACTGAATGTTTAGTCCTGTGACAAAGCTGTTTGAAGTACCGTATCCCTATCGTCACACTGTGATCAGAAATTCCCATATAAAACCTAATTCACTGTACCTTCAAAATGTCATGGAAGTCATATAATGGGAGAATGATTCATTTTATGACAACTAGAAAAACGCGTACGAGCCCACAATATACGAAGATGGCTAAATGTAATGCGCCCATAATAGGTAGTTCTGTATAGCCAGTCGTGAAAAGTATTCGTGCCAATTATTACCTATTTATTTGTTCCATAAATATCCCAATCATGTGATTAATCCAGTTCGGGAAAAGACTACAGAAAGTTGTTTACTCATCCCAATTATCTGCCATCCGCAATCTTTACCCGAGGACAAATCGGAGTGTTAGGAAAAGGTATTGCAGAGACACAAGTACGAGGATTTCTAGCAAGAGAGATGCTCTGAGAGAAGAATAAGTTCGTTTGGACTGCAAGTTGAGTGTAGTGAAAGGCTTCGCAGACGTCATTTCTCTTTGACTTGGTTCTTCGGTCGGCAGACTATTTGCTTTATAGTTTCGTAAACGGACACAATCGCTCGCTCAACGGCGTGCATTGTGGTTGAACTGTGGCCTATAGAGCAATGATTGATTTGGGTTTAGCCTTACCAACAGGTGTGAGCCTGAAATTTACTGCCATCGTGCGCCGTTTTATTTGAACGCTCTCAAACGATCATTGGAGTCTTTTTCAGAAGAGGACTTTAGGCAATTGAGAAGATTTGTAAGAGGAAGTACAGAATAGTTGTTTTTTTACGGATGTATTGTATTTCAGTATATGTTACCTTCGTGGACAGTATGGAGGAAGGGAGTTTCAGTGTTCTGCACCGGTAGAATCGTGACGAATTTGAAAACAGCCTAGAAACCACCACCCACAACCTCAGTTAAACACTATTCCTTTTTGTATCCTCGCCCTTTCTGGTCGATCCCCACTCAGCACGCAAGACATCATTACAGCTGTCTAATCATTTCGTGGATCGAAGAAAAAGGCCAGAAATACTGGAAATGTAGACAAAAACACTGAACAGTCATAAGAAGCAGATAATGTACATCAGTGACGTGCAAAATAGCACATAAATAGGTGACATGTAGAGCTAGCTATACGTCAGCGGCCATGACGAGAGACAGGCAACAGAAGGGAAGAGATCCTATATACCATTACATAATTTTCCAATTTTAAGAATAGAATACTAAGTTTCCTGAGTTCCTTGACCCAACAAACACCCTCCAACGTTCGATTTCATAAAGAGCCGCTGTGACTCAAATGTTTATGGGGGCCTATGTTTGCTAGTCAGTACAAGTTCAATGCTTGTATCCTTCCAAACGAGTATGGTACCAATTATCAGATCCCAAGGAGAGAGGACTGGGCAGTTAGCAACCATGGAGATGATTCCCGGAAGAACCGCATGATAGAGTGTCCTTTGGCACTACACCACATCTTCGCCCTGGCTAAGCATGTCACCATGAATTTGCTTGCCTGCCTGTTACCGTCAAAATCACAGTCCTCAGACTTCAACCGTGCAATGTTGAAACTTCATGGAAACGAAGGGATATCGATCGATCGAGTGTTCGTAGTTTACTTTCTCATACCGAAGGGCTGCAAATTCGTGAGAAATAGAATTGGTGTGGTGGGAAAGTGGGTTCAAGTGACACCAATCATTATCGATCAGAATAATCGATTGTTTCTCCTTCGTCTTCAACGCCTTTTTTTTCTTCTTCTTCTTCTTCTTCGTCTTCCTCTTCGTCTTCTTCGTTGTGTGAAGGGGTGGAAACGGGTTATCGATCAGAAGTAAATATGGTTCCATAATCTGAAGTTTGGTGTAGCAATAAACATAATCTGAAGTTTGGTGTAGCAATAAATTACTGATTGAGTATATCGTTTTTTGATTGGTGCCCGCTGCTGCTATGCCATAACTGGTATTCCAAGGTACCTAACCGAAAAGCACAATATATAGTTTTGCGAAAGAATGAATTGATTACAGAAACAATTTATTAACTAAAAACAAACACAACACTCAAGCTCTTGTCACGATAAGAACAACGAAAACCAATTGGAAATGTTTTGAAATAGCGAGATGATAGGAGATCCAGTCGACCATTCAGAATTTCGAAGCAGGGCGTGTCTCGATCCATTTCTTCAGTTTTGGATTAGAGCGTACCTTCTCAGCATGGGCCTTCACCTATAAAATTCTAGAGCTTATGCGTGCAGACTGCAAATAGTTTCAGAGTATGTAGATGTCTTTTTCACAGAATCTTTAAAAAATTATGAATGCTATAAAAAATCGGTTCTCAGTAGCATCCATATTCAGCGGAAATCCCTGTAAGCCTTTGTCATTAAAAAGAAGAACGCAATCATCCTTGAAAAAGTAAAGGTGTACCTCAGGGAAACCATCGTAGAGCTTAGGGTAGTGCTCTGTGAAGGTAGTCATTTCGGCCACGTAGAGATCGGCAAATGTTAGCGAATCTCCGACTAGGTATCCTGAAATTCAAATTCACTAATCAAGTTAAGCGTAGAGCAGAACAGACTTGAGTTGCGATTTTTCGGAAACCCAAGGTGGTGCATTTCAAGATCGATTTTGATGTGGTCAATCTGATTTCAGTAGATGAAGTATCTCTCAATTCTCTACGGATTCTGAAAGCTGTATCGAATTCTATTGTCCCTAGGAGGGAAGGAGTACTCGAGGTGATACGAAAAACCACCCGCCCTTTATGACTGTCATTTTTTTAAATTGCTTGAGTTGGAAGGAAAAGCCTAAAGTGCAGCAATCAAAATCTGTCTGCTTTCATGGCCAAATCTTATCCCTGTGATATACAATGTTACAACTAAAATGGAGATAGCCCTCGAGACCACGTTTGTATCGGTATCGTTAAGGCCTGGTAACGCCGTTTCTAGGGCTTTTTCACTGGGAAATGGCCACGGCGAGACCTCACGCTCTATCTACCTCAGTCTGATTAGAGTAATATGAAGTTACAACCAAGGATAAAACAGTGAGCGATCATCATCTCTCAAGTATGGGATCTTTTAGACTCTTGTAAATTGAAAAGTATGTACAAGGGCACTGGGATTACTCACCAGCTTTGTGCTTTGGCCACAAGGTTGCTGGGGAGACTTTAAGCGCCTCTCAGGTACTTACCGAATTCAGCTACTCTGATGGCTAACTACATATTCAGAATGGTAGTGCTGATGCGTAAGAAAAAGAGTGAACGCCAAGTATTTTGCCAGTTTCTTCTGAAATTCACGAGTGAAGAACATACCAGTTTTGTTTTCTTTGAGAATCTTGGTTATGATGGTGAAGAACTTTTGGCGTGCAGGCTCAAACACGTCCTTCTCAAGGGCTTTCTGTAAAGCAGTATGGTCCCAATGAAGGATGGCTCATATTAGGGTGGATCGATGGACTCACCAAATCACCTTGATCCATTCCTAACAGAACTTTGAAGTAGGGACGAACTTCGTTGAGGAAATCTTTGAACTGGTCAGCGATCGAATCGACAACAGCTTCTTCCCAAGCGCTCTTGCCAGCAAAACCTACAGGAAAGAAGTTTCTTGCAAGTATCAGATTAAGAAGCCCTTCACGCATTCATACCGAATTTCCTAGCCAAATAGCGTACGATAGCGACGGATTGGGGCAATTGTTTTCCGTCGACTTCGAGAACCGGCAATTGGCCGAATGGCATTGCTGAACATTAAGGTCAAGCTTATTTTGTATCAACATTTCTTTCAAGGCTTTATGAAGCAGTACTCACAAGCTTTGTGCTTTGGCCACTCTTCATGGGTTAGACGAATGTCTTCGTAGTCTTGTCCGGCAAGGACGAAAACCTTGAAAATGTGTTCTGTAGGACTCTCAATATTGGAATTGGTTTTGCTAATAAGAAAAATGTAACCTACACACCTGTCTAATAATTTCGGCAGCACCACGTCCATTGAAGTATGTCAGCTTGTAGTGAACCATTCTGAAACAATAACCGTTCAGTCTATGTAATAGAACAAATCAAAATTTAATAAGGACGAAAGCAGGACAAACAAAATCAAAACACGGAGATTAAAGAAAATAGACCATATACAGGCGCCACTCCTAAAAAGGCAGCACAGGTAAACCATTAGGGGCGGGTGGACACCCGGGGGGACGACGGAGAGGGCATGTTATCAACACCTTCCTAGGATCCTGCAATATGATCAAAAAGAAACAACAGGTGGTATTGGACATAGTTACGACTTCTATCAAAGTTTGCTTTAGAAGAAGTTGCAGGAAGTGTGGGAGCCGCCTTGCAGGTAACATGGCAATGGCAATGATCAATTAGAGCCTATCACAGCGACCGCAAATGACCCCCTGTTGACATAAATTCACTATCACTGCCTGCCCATTCATCTTCTGATTGTGGGACTTCTACCGCAGCAGTATGAGGGGTGATAAGCAAATGAGAGTGAACACGAAGCACGCTGCTTATATACAGCTCGTATGCCGTCCATTCCGGCCAACGATCAGTTATTGTCATAATTGGCTAGACTCCCAAGCGATAAATGATCTGTAAACTCTGCAACAATCAAGAACGAAGAGCATGCTGTACACCATTGGCAATGCAACGTTTGCGGATCTCCATGGAAACTGCTTTCTGAATTAGCAATCAAGTTCGGACCCTTGAAAGAAAAACCTTTCGTTTGAAATGGAAACGAAGGGCCTTGAGAATTCTTTCTGGTGAGGCAAAGTAATTTCGAAGGGAATTTCGGGGTCTACATCATTGATCGGAATATAATGGTAAATCCTGAAGGTAGGCTTGCTGTGTATTACTCTGTAAGTGGTATGAAGTCAAGTAAGGTTCAAACTAATATGGCTAAACTAGGAAGGCACACTTCGGTATAGGCATACTCAACATAGGTCAGGGCTGAACCTGAGACCTCATCTAACACTAACCGCCCGGTTTCCTTGGACATCCCCGAAGAAACTACTTCCTACGTTTTTGTTTTATTTAGCAAGTTTTGCTGCCTTTTGCATTGTTAATGCGTCAAACAGCAATCCTACTTACAATAATGAACGCTTAACTCTACTGCCCTCACCTTCGCTGTCGCGAAGTCCCTCTCACACCTTCTCACTCGCAGGATGCAGCCCCAAAATTTACGGAAAGGAATATGAATAAAGAAAATAGTGTAGCAACAGAAGTGAAGAAAGACTCTGACAACTAGAGTGCAAAGAGAAGCCACGAAGGGGAGAGCTGTTTATTTGTTTTGACATCAAAGTATTACTCATGATCGCCACTCTACTAGACACTCTATCGACAACAAAACTAACCAGTGCAGCCTAAATTATTGAAAAGCGCCTGAACCCTTTGTCACTGTTCTGCTAGAATTATGTATCAAAGAGGACTTTTCTTAAGGAGATTTTCATAATGATGCTAATTGCCTCACAAAGTCATGCGAACGGGTAAGATGTGAACACAAGGACGTGCCTAAGTTGGGAAACNTAGAGTGCAAAGAGAAGCCACGAAGGGGAGAGCTGTTTATTTGTTTTGACATCAAAGTATTACTCATGATCGCCACTCTACTAGAGGGCCAACAAAACTAACCAGTGCAGCCTAAATTATTGAAAAGCGCCTGAACCCTTTGTCACTGTTCTGCTAGAATTATGTATCAAAGAGGACTTTTCTGTAAGGAGATTTTCATAATGATGCTAATTGCCTCACAAAGTCATGCGAACGGGTAAGATGTGAACACAAGGACGTGCCTAAGTTGGGAAACGCCGATGATTCGACTGAGAACGATCGGCGGTGATTTTATACGGTTAAAGAACGTTTCGCAATCGTTCTATTTGTCAGCAATTTTCGACTACACATCACAGCATTGTCGCATTGTAAGCACGCCTCTTCGACCGCGGTGAACTCTGATCAGGCAGGTGCTTATCAACGACTCGTCTTTATTGACCGCGCCAACGTTACTATCCACGAATTGACCCTGGTTACTGATAAGAAGCGCGTTCCCGTTATTTCGAAAATTCGAGAAGAAGGGGAACTCAGTGTATGAGGTTCCCGAATGCTCATTATAGTGACGGCCATATATTCATTCAAAACACAACATGATCCTGCATGGAAATCGAATGGACCGGCCCATACCAAGAACGAGATTGTTTTCGCCCCAAGACGTGAGACTCTTTTACACTCCCACCTTTTCCGAGAAAAATCCATGAAGTTAATGTGGCGAATATCAGAAAGGATGGTATGGAAATACTGAGTCGCTTCCAATGACTTAACCACAAGTTGATCAATTCACTTGTGGCACAGCAATGATGAAGTTTTTAGATATAGCAATTCGATAAGAAATTATTCCAGATATTTCCCCATCGACATCGAAGGCGTGCAATGAATGAGAACTAGCAAAATGAGAAAATCGTCAAATTTCTCATAACATGGGGTGTAATTGGTTGTAGATCTCCAGCCCACCAGCGTCGTGTAGGTGGTGAATGTGAAGGCTGACCGAACAATCTTTTTGATGGCGATGTTGCAGAGCGAATGAACGGGACCCTTGTGGAACTAGTTTCCGCTGGTCAAAATCGAGCATTCAGAGACAGTGACTAGAATTCGACTAAAACAATTCAGCATCATTCATTAACAGGGGTAGAGGAGACGATTCGTTGCTCATTCCCTGCGAATGGGGTCGCTATAGCAGACATTCCCATATCTTTTAAGATTGAGCAACTACTTTGCTGACAAACGAACTCCCATCGAATGTGATGCATTCGTCTGTTCTCTGCCTGCTCTGATCCGAGCATCGGAACGGGCAGTGAGGTGTCTAGCAAAAAGGGTTCGTAAAATACAATTCAATATGAAACTTGAGTCCCATCCAATCGGTGCTTATTGGTGGCAAAGCTTTTTAGCCCCAAAAATAGTGACGTGGGCATTGACATGCCAATTTGTACGTTTGAGAAGCTGAAGGCCGACTGCATATCTCACAAAGTGAATTTACCAGAAAAGAAGTTATAATGCTCCCATAATATACAAACAATGATTCCAGAGGGAACAGGATCGTAGTAAAAAGAACCTACCCTAAAATTCCATAGATAAGAGCGGTTGAAACTACCGGTGAAAAATGAATTGGAATGAAATTGAAATTGAATGCAGTCACCGGAATCTTAGGGTACTTGGTAGTACCCATTCATCCTTTATTGTATTCAGTCAAAGGTACAGTTCACGAAAGGCTTCTGAGTTATCCCCATAGAATGAATTCGAGGTGTCTCGTATGCCATATTTGGCGTTATCAGGCAGGAAAACGACCTAGTTAGGGAGTTATAAAGGCTAGAAGATTGCACTGTGTGTATCCTCGGACGGGTTTCACCAGCATTGTAGAGGCTGCACGGATCGCAAGGGAAGCCATGTAGGTAGTTCAAACAACTTCCACTGGATTGATGTAGCCAGCTTTTTGTGCAATTGCAACAACTGCAATCTCGTCCGATTACCCCTTCCATGCCATTTCCATCATGTACTCCGTGCGACCTCTATTTTCTATACTTTTCAAAGAGCTATGTTTTTTCGTAATTGGCGAATGTCTCCTTCATCCCGATGAACTATTCCCAACCTAACAGGTACCTCAAAATTATCGTGAACTGTGCCTTCAAATATGACCTGACCTCTGCTGCTTGTTTTTAAAAGCTATTTCAATGTTTGCATAGAAAGTAACCGGGAGGCGATTTGGAGTCACTTCCAGTAACCAATCTCCTTGCCCACTCTGTAATGGTTTGGCTAGCTACACAGAGTCTAACCAGCTCAGGAGAAACTGCTAGATTTCAGGGCCATGACAGGCTGATCGAAAAACGAAAGATTAAGCTCTGTCATTCAACGCGCGACCGCTTGCATCGAAAGCTTAGTGTGTAAGTTAGGGTTGTAAGTGTTCACAAGGTCGACGTTTGCGTTTAACAAGGTGTGGCTCGACCCAAACCCCAACGATCTTCGTTGCCACTGCATCAGCATCAAACTAAGAGGAGGAGAAATTGGAAAGGTTTTACATGGACCTGCAAGGGCATTTCAGAGAAGACAACAATCTTTCTAATGTCGTCGCTAATTTCATCGGCAAGATTGGGTAGTGAGGAATAGCTGAAAAGCTAGATAACGGTACGGAATGGAATGAGCAGTGTGAAAGACAGTCTCAGTATACCAGGTCAACCCATGCCATCCACGGCAGGTCATTCGCAGTTCTAGAAGCCCACACATGCGCGATGGATTTGGAAATCTCCTGATAGACAGTTCCATGATAAAATAGGTCGCATCATCTTCAATCGGAAGTCATGCCTGATTGGTGTCGCTGTTGTTTGGGTGTTCTACACAGGATCGCACCTCAGCGCTAGGCTCCGTTTTTCAGTGCCCAGAAAGAGCTGCGAAGTATAGGGAAGGAGCCCCAAGATCGTCATCGATTAGGATTACTTCGCTTTTCTTGCGAGTCTGTAGGAAGTCCGTTATGACAACATTAATATTGAGTACAACCTGCTTAACATGTCCGCGTCTGTGCGGGGAAAGCAGAGAATCGGCAATTTGCCAAGAGACGTCTTTCTAGGAAATTTTTGTGTTCATACTCCAGCGTAAAAGCGAGTGCGCTGCGAGTAACGCCAGATCAGGCTATGTAGAGAAGCGGTGAAGGGAGATCTGAAGAGCAACAGATTTGGCTGGAGCCGTCGAGTACGGAAAGAGCATTCGCCAAGCCTTACGGAACTTCGCTTCGGTTCTGACGGAACAGTAACTGCATTTCGAAGGGCCATAAAGAGGACCTACTCGGGACTTTACTACTGCCACGTCTACTTACCGTCTTTAGGCAGCGTGGATACCGCGTTTCCTTGGTTCTCTTTTCTGAAATTCGACAAGCCCTCATGAAAAATCGCTCTGGTTGGTTCCGATGGATCAACCAAAACGTCCAGAAAGGATCACTCCAATTATCGTCAAAGCTCTGACCAGCTTCACGCGGTAACTGTCGCAATGCAAGGCGCTCGCGTCGTGAAAAGCTAGCAAGGCTGTGTTGTTATATAAGAAGGGGATGCAGAAAATATTGACAACTATCGCCCAATCTGCCTGCTGTCTGTAATCTACAAATGACGCACGATACAATCTACGTTTACAGAGTCATCCACAACACGATCGGGAGAATATTAAATGAAGGACAGCAATGTGAGCAAGCGGGGTCAATGCGACTGTTAGAAGACTNGGACTTTTCACTGCCGCTTGTGAACACCGTGCATCATTTAGAGCGGGACGACATGGGAACGAAGGTGGATGGCATGCTTACGAAATCAAAGATCGAGGAAGCGAAACGAGTGGTGGTCGAATTCGACTACGCTCGTGGAAAGGTCGGTTGAAACTATGAAGACGTTATACATAATTAACGGTTCTGTAAATAACTAACCCTCTTCTTACGATGAATGGAACCTACTTCCCCGGATGCTCTGGCTATATCTATCTAAGTCGAAAAGTCAAAATGAGGAGCCACTCAGCTTCGGAGCCGAGCAGAAGGGAGCGCACAGAGGGAATAGCGAAGAGAACAGAAAATCTCACTCCACTGCGCGCTCACCCATTCTGAAGTTTCACCCTTCCAACAGCCCTTCGACGTACCCATCAGAGACTTGGGTTTCAAGCAAGCAGGCAGGTGGGGGAGACGGGCAGAGAAACGGTTTTGTGTATTCGATTCGCCGCGTGCGGCAGTTGCGGACGAGCTGCAGCCGTCACCGTCGCCTGCGCTCCTTCGTGCTCCTCGACGATAGCCGATTATTAATTCTGAGGTGATTGTGCTGTTTCTTCTTTTATTTCTGTATTCATTATTTGCTGCACTGCTTCATATTTCCATTTCGCTATATTATCTAGTAGTATTTTTGCTTTGCTACCAACTCTATTACTGCTGTTTGTTGCTGATGTTTGGCTAGAGGCAGAACCAGTGAGATTCTGGCCTTTCTCAGATTAGTTTGG